AATTCTTCTTATGATTATCATTATTATTATTATTAGTAGTAGTAGTGGTAGTATTAATAATGATGACAATAATATCAATAATAATAATATTGTTGTTAGTATTATTGTTGTTGTTAATATACTTGAATGTAAACTAAAGCACTGAACTGAGTTATAACTGAAGAGCGTCCACGGCGGTGTCGTAGGAACACTGATCCCCGCCGCCAACATCTTCATCTAAACGTTCAGTGTCGCCCTGATGAGCTTTTCTTTAAACAAGTAAAAACCATGAGTGAGCTCCTGTTGCCTTGTTTTTATTTTGAATTAATAATTTGTTAAAGAATTCAGCCTGTTTGAAACCAGATGCAGAACAGAGTTCAGATCTGTTCCTTCTCCTTATTTTCAGTTGCTGAAGTCAATCAGAGGATCTAATGAAGCCGGTGTGTGTTTTACTGTAAGTCGAGGCAGGAAGCGGTCTCAGACGCTCAGTCGTGTTTCTCTGAAAACGCACAAAAGTCAGAGCAGCAGTTGCCTTAATTGAAACGTGTCTTTCAGCATCTGATTTGTCATGGCTTACGGCTCCGCTGCTTTAATCCCAGAGATGTTTGCCGTGTTGGCTGTGGTTTGCGGCAGTCTTCCTGGAGCAGCTGACAGGAGGAGGGATGTGCTTGGTGGAGCGCTGCTGCAGCGCTGCTCTGGCCCACAGATTAGATGTGTTGCTGACAGGCTGATCAGCACAGAGACACTCGGGGCAGGACACCGGCGGCTCGGCAGGAGGCCGCCGCTGCTCTCTGGGCTTCATCGCCATCAGGATTATTAAGTGCTTGTCGCGCTGCAGTCTTTGTGCTCCGCGTCTGAAATAACTTCTGTTTGTGATGTTTTAAAATCTATTTATTGAATTAGTTTATTTTATTGTGTCTGTTTTTCTGGCAGTGGAACCGACTGTTTGACCAGACGGGGAAACTCGAGGTCTTGACTTCAGAACATGTGTATTTCTGTATATGTTCATTAATGGATGTATTTAGTTATTTATGCTGCAAACAGGGACGTGTCAAATGTGATAGCTCCATATGAAGCTGCCCAATCAGCCGCCATGAATCAAATGCGTGCCGTTCTACTGGACCGGTCCGTTTTTAGAACAAGAGCTTTTTGTTTAGTGAAGTGCTTTAAAATATTCTGCATCTTCATTTAAGCATTTAAATACTGGACTGAGCTGAACTCTCCGACACGGTGGAGCAGCTGTTTCACATCTACATACATGTGGGAGAACATCACTGTGGTTCTGGACAAATCTCCGTCCTGACCTCTGACCTCTGAGCCATGAACAGCATTAATGGGACCAGCTTTGCATTCTGACTCCTCTGACCGAACCGTCACAGCTTCCTGTTTGCCTCTGAGTTGGACCGTCCTGGGCAGTGACCTGCACCAGCTTCTATCTGTCTGGGATGAGGGATGAAACAAACCCAGTCCTGGTTCACCAAATCTGCCACAAACTTCTTTCTGGACTCCGTGAACCACTAAACCTGTGTCTGAATGCTCCCGCGTGCACGGTTTGTGTTACCTGGTTGTTTTTGCACAGGTCGGCCCACATGCTGGTGCCGTCCCCTCCGCGCATCAGTACATGGTAGGTGAAGAAATAAATCCCGGGGATGGAGCACGTAAACTTCCCCGTGGTGGGATCGTAGTGGTTTCCCAAGTTGGTCACCACGTCGTCGAACTTGAGCACTTCGTAGCCCTCGTGCTGCTTCTTCAGCCCCGCGTAAAAGGCGATCTTGGGCACGGTGCTGTAGGTGGCTGCGCTGATGGCACCGGCCGCGGCGCTGGGTCCCGGAGGTCCTGGCAAACCGGGTCTGCCCGGTTCACCTTTATCTCCAGGTGGTCCCGCTGGACCGGGCGACCCAGGCTCACCCGGAGGCCCCCGTGGACCGGCCTTACCCGGACGACCCGGTTCTCCTTTCGGACCTTGGATGAAGGTGGGCAAAGACTGCACGAGGCTGTTGTCTCTGACGGCGTCCGTCGTCACGGTGCTGGTCGGAGACTTGGTGCCGTACGGGTCGCACACCATCCTACAGGTGCCAAGCATCTCGTAGTGCGCCGCTGTCCCTGCTGAGCTGACAAGAACCGGGATGAGGATGACCAGAACCAGAACCATAACGACCCCCAGGACCCCTGCGGCCACCAGCCGTTTCCTGCCGACCAGCCGAGTCAGCGCAGGACGATCCTGTTGTCTGCTTTTAGGTGAAATCTTGCTGTCTGGACCGGAACCGTTCAGAGGAAAAAGGTGTAGCCCAGCTACACTTAGTGGAGCTTAATGAACTTTGTGAGCCCCTCCCGCGGCTCCTCCACAGCTTTCTGCTGATGCGCTGCTTATTCAAGTCTCTCGGAAAGTTCGGACTGCTCGGTGATTTCCAGAACCGCTGGATTCAGCATCTCAGTCGCTGTCGAACCCAGCAAGAGAGGCTCCCACGTCCTTAATCCACACAGCCCCGAAGTGCAGCGTTTGAGCAGCATGTGAAGTGTTGAGGAGGAAGAGGAGCATCAGAGGACAGGAGGGAGGAGAGAGGAGAGGATGCTGCTGCTGCCGGCGTCCAATAGGAACCCACAGAACACCAGGAGACGGCTTCCAACTTCTCTGATGCTCACATCTGCTCCGTGAGCTCCATCAGTGCTGCTCTCATCAGCTGCAGCCTGAAAAGTAACGCAGTGGAAATAATCACTTTGATAATCACATGAAGTCAACAAATCATCACAGAAATCCCTGAATCAGCAGAAATGAATGAACAGATCACATGTTTGTCTGTACACCTGACCTACAGGTGAAGCTGCTGCAATAAAGTTACAGCCAATCAGGGAGGCTTCTCATGATCCTGGGCTACAGAAGAACCGGATAAATGCTGTTCTTATTGCATTTAGTCATTAATGATTCAAGACTGTAAGGAAATAAAACTGCCTTTAAAACAAAGGAGCGCTGGTCCAGACCAGCTGGTCCAGACGAGCTGGTCCAGACGAGCACTGGTCCAGACGAGCACTGGTCCAGACGAGCACTGGTCCAGACGAGCACTGGTCCAGACGAGCACTGGTCCAGACCAGCCGGTCCAGACGAGCCGGTCCAGACGAGCACTGGTCCAGACGAGCTGGTCCAGACGAGCCGGTCCAGACGAGCACTGGTCCAGACCAGCTGGTCCAGACGAGCACTGGTCCAGACCAGCTGGTCCAGACCAGCTGGTCCAGACGAGCCGGTCCAGACGAGCCGGTCCAGACGAGCTGGTCCAGACGAGCCGGTCCAGGACATAAACAGCTTCACCAGCATGTCAGCCATCACGGCATTTGCTCTTATATATGTCTACATACATATATAACCAGTAGTTACTGGTTAAGATGTGTTCAAAGCCTTCAAATGAATTCAGTGTTTATTGCAGAAGCATCCTCGCACTGAAAATGTAGAAAATGTCGCCTCAGCTCAGATGAGCTGTTGGCAGACGGGGTTCTGAAGGGTTAGGGTAACCCTTCAGAACCCTAACCCCTCCAGGCTGCTGATGACTGTGGAACATGATCTGATGTAAAAGAATTATTTTTTAATGTGGGATTTTTTTTCACACTGAATAAATGAACTTGAATTAAAGGTTGAATTTTCCTCTTTTTTTTCATTGTGGCCCTAAATTATTTAGAAAAAAAGTGGATTATCTGGAAGCTAAAGAACACATCTGAACCAGTGGCAGTACTTATGGAGGGCGCTGTATCAGCAAAGAACCAAATCATTCTCTAACACTAAACATATATTTGACATTTTACTCCCATAGTTTGAAGTCAAGACTAACAGCAGGTGTAAACAGCAGACTGTGAATGAGAAAATAAATGCAGCTGGAACCAGATATTTAGTGCAAGAGACTCAAATTTCCCCTAAAACTCTTCCTCTGGATGTGTTTCTTGTCCTGCTGGTTTCTGAAATGTGTTCTGGTCTCAGGTTCAGATGCCAGAGAGTTATTAGAGCCTGAACCAACAGAACCACTGTGGTCACACTGGTGCAGAAACATGTGTGATGTGATCTGTGACGAGTCCTCACCAGGAGCACATCATCTGACTTTCATCTTTAGGGATATTTTACTGAGATAATAATTCCATCATTTCCTTACAGTGCAGCTCTGACTGGAGGACTTCCACCTCTGTGGAGTGTTTCTAATCAGCTGAATTCAAAAGTAGAACATCTGGAGACTTTTTCCACCACAGATGATGGACTCTTGCTCTCAGCTCTTTACATGTTCCTCTGGCTGCAGCGCTGCGTACGTCTCCCTGGTAAAGGCGTGGAGCTAGACGCCATGTTCTTATGAGATCAGTGGACGCTTCACCGGTAGCCTGACACTGGTTCTGATCAATACCCAAATCCACGCACCGGAACAAAGTCATCTGTCTTGTGGATCACAAGACACAGATGCAGTGATGGTGTATTAATGCCAGTAAAATCAAAGTAACCTCATCTTCTCTGTCTTCATTAGTCCTCTAAACATCCAGTTTTCAAGAGACCCTGAAAATGAGCAGTGAAGGTAGCAGAGGATCATTGGATTGGCATTTCACTCAATATCACTACGGTAAATGATGAATTGCTGTGGAGGGCTAATAAGGGTGGGAATGGGCAGGGGACTGAAGCTGGCCGGCGCAGCACTGATACTGATCATAAACTTTATTTAGAAGGACTTTCTAAACAAGCGTTACGCAGCAGAAAACAACAACGACGTGAACTAAAGCGTCAACGACAGACCAGCAGTTATTCATCTATGTACAAGTGCCACCCAGTAAATACCTGGACACACACCTGGACACACACCTGGACACACACCTGGACACGCTGATCAGACAGAAAACCACCTGCCTGTCACTGTGCAGAACCCCTTGTGGCACCAGAACACCTCTGTTCCATTGGACCATGGACGTGGGACCTCGAGGGTGACCCTGGAACAGGACTACTGGTCCAGCTCTTCTTTTCTAGAGTTAGACTCTTTGCCTTAAAGGGTCTTATCCCAATAAGAACTCAAAGAACCGCTTTGTCAGCGTCTTACTGCAGCTACCCAAACACCGAACCGCTGAGACAGCTGACCCAACTGGACAGGCCCACCAGTCATACTGGGTGATGGCAGCTTTTCTCTAAATGATTATGTTGAGAGGACAAGAAGCTCATAAACGTGTAATGTGGCTGACTGAAATCACTTTAATAAAATGAACACAGCTTTCTTCTATCTCTGGGTTTCATAGGCCAGTAATCAAAAGTCCAAACTATCAGTTTTTAGTTGAAACAGCACTGAGTAAAGAAACAGCTCTTAATTTAATACACAAATGTTTTCAAAATGAATCATAGTTTGATCATTTGGTTAATATTAAAACTGAGCATTCTCCTAAATACTGCCCAACAGGATCACAGTGGACGGCTTGGCCTTCGCGGTCCAACCTGACCACTCAGGCCTGATCTACCTGACCCAGGAGAGTCCGTCACCGGAAAGTGGGCGACCCAGCACAGAGTCCAAGTCCATAGCAGTGCCCCCTTTCTTCAGGGAGAACTGAAAAATCCCGACTCCAACTTGGTCTGCAATAAAGAGAATACTTCATTTTTCCTTCTGAGTTTGCTTTGCATCTCATCCATCCATCATCTCTACACCTTAACCCTCACTAGGGGGGCGGAGCCTATCCCAGCTGACTCAGGGTGAAGGCAGGTTCACCTGGACAGGTAACCAGTCTATCACAGGGCTACACTTAGAGACAGACAACCAAGCACACTCACATTCACACCTACGGACAATTTACAATCACCAATTAACCTCAGCATGTTTCTGGACTGTACAAGACAACAGCAACATTGTAAAAACAAACAAACAAAAAGTCCCATCAGAACTGGATCCTGGCAGTAAAACGCAGTCATACTAATGACAATAATCACTATCAGCGCGCTCCCACCTGACACACGGCGGCTAATGCTGGGAACGCTCCTGATTCTTGTGTTGGCTGCAGACCCACGTCTTGTGACCGGTGCTGATCCTCAGCTTGAAGGTCGGTCCATCCTGCTCGTGACCGACAGAGAACTCAGTGCTGGTGGTTCACAGAGAAAATCTCAGCTCATGGAAATAAGGAGTGTCCTGCTTTAATGGGAAACAATATGTTTGCATACTTGCTAGCATACATACACAACTGTGTGTTTTTATCTAAGATAATATTTATATGACAGTTTGAATGAACCGGTTTGATTTGACTAAAACCACTGACACCAGATCAGCCCTCACCCTGATGCATGACGTTCATGATAGTGACAAAGACACAGAAAAGGTCTGGGAAACAATTCTGCTGCCTCCCAGGAGTGAAGCACGAGCATTAAAGACACACAGCATGCAAATACAAGAGCAACAAACAAGAACAGGAGGAACCATGGACACAGCAGACACCATGAGAAAACACAAGAACTGTGAGGAAACTAGAAAGTCAGACCACCACAGTCCTGTGCCATTTCACGTCTGTGAGAAAATCGTATTCAGATTGTGATGCTGACAGCTCAGTGTGTTGGTTCGCTCGATGCATATGAAGGCTGTTCAACGTACATCAGGTGACGTGTTTGTCAAATGTTTTTATTTTAGCAAATTGTTAGAAAAGAGCATTTTCATTGAACTTCAACACATAACCGGGACAGAGTCATGACAAGGCCAATACAAACATACAAACAGTGTGAATGCTGTCTGCCTTACAGCAGGTTTATTGTCACATGTTAGACAATTACAGTTTAATCTTCATTCTGACATCTAGCAGGGTTCTGGCTCTGGTCCTGTTGTCCTCCAGGGTCCAACACAGAAAGTAAAATGTTAAACAAGTTTGTGAAAATGAGAATGTGAAGTGGATCATGGCATTCTGACTTTTACTCAAACAACAGAAACACATGAGGCAGTAATAATGCCACTGTGGAGTTTTTCTGACGTCCGTTATGGGTCTCCATGTCCGTGGGTTGTCAGTAGGTCTGGTGACCAAGTGCAATGGTGACACTACGGGGGGGAGAGCTCTATCATCAGCAGATCTATAGATTTAATAGGTACAAATGGGTAAAGAAGGAATGTTGCTGTCAGAAAGTTTGGACACTAACAGCAACAGTTGAGCAGTTTTATAGTAAGATGTGAAAATGGAGACAGAGAGGCTGAGTAAAGATGGTAATGGAGAGATGCTGTCAGAGGTGTGTGGCACCAGCAGATGGAGAATGAGGGAGTGAACAGCTGACGGCTGATGATCAGCAGAGGAGCTGGAGAGCAGTGTGGCAGGCAGAGGCAGCTGATGACTGGACGACAGGCTGGGCAAGGCAGGTAGGACAAAGGAGACAAGGTGGCAACAAGTCCGAGACACAGAAACACAGGATGAACCCTGCAGCACCACAAAAGTCCAGAAAAAATGAGCAGAACCTTTGTGTTTGTACACTGACTGTCCAAACTAACATACTGAGCATCCAAGAGTCCATGTGCAGCGCCGGGTGCTTCTGTAGCCCCTAAACATAGCATGTCCTAAATAATGACTGCAAACAGGACACAAAACTTACTGACCGATTAATTTTATAAAAAAAACGATTTACTGAATTACATCCGAGTCCCAATATTGAGCAGCATTCATTTGCCCTTGTCGACCCAGAAGCAGTGATTGTCCTCTGAACCGTGGCGGTGCCGCCATGTTTTAATGGCATTCATCACGTTGTGTGCAGACAATCTCTCTTTGTTTATGATATACTGAAATAGAAAAAAAATAAAGTTTTGCAGACTAAATATTTTCAGTAGAAATAATCCCAACCCTACGTTTGAGAAGTGACGAGTGCTGCTTCCATCCCATCCTGCCCGGAGAGAAAACAAATGCAAACTGGGGGCCTCAGAGCACCAATGATGCTGCTTCTCTGCTGAACACAGAACTTGTTGCAGTCGTTCCTGTTGTTTTCTCGCCACATGAAGGTTGTGGTTGAAGCTGCTGGATGTTCCTCTGTGGCGGGGAGCCTCCTCCTCCTCCCACCATCCACACATGCATGGTGCCTGGTGAGCGTGGACCGACCCGGTGTCAGGTGTGTGTTCGCCCTGCGCTGGGCTCGCCACCTGTCCTGGGTGTTTCCTGAGTCAGTCCTGAAGCCAGTAAAGCTAATGATGGGTCCTCTATCCATGAGTAAATGGGTTTGTAGCATGTGTGCTAACTCACAGTCTCAGGCTGCTTCACGTTCACCATCTTTGTCGTCCTCAAACACATGAGGAGAATTTTCAGGGCAACAAACAATAACTGTATTAAAAATGTAATAAACTGAAATTACTTTCAGGATCACGTGACATTTATGACACCAGAGTGGTTCCAGCTGCTCAGGTCTGTTTTTCAAAATACTGAAGACTGAAAATACTCCATAGGTGGCGCTGTTTAGAAAATGAAATGAAAGCTCTGACCAAGTGTTTAAGAGGATTATAAATGATAACAATAATGAAAATGAAACACACACACAGGTGTATATATACATACACATAAACATATATCATTAAGTAAAGCAGCTGTATAATTGCAGCTCCTCCTGCACGCTGCTTTCTTCTCCATCCTGTGTCACCACCCTCATTAAAGTGGCACTGTGCAGCCTCTCTGAGACAATCAAGCCTGCCCTAACACACACGCCACCTATAAATCACCTCGTGAAAATCAATGGGCTTTAGTTAGCCTGGGACCCATTGTGTCCTTGGAAAAGTGTGAGATGAATTGAGATGAAGTGAGAACAAAACAAGCACAACATGCAGCAAAAGGGACGGAGGAGAGAGGATCCAAACACTCGCTCTGATACCTGCTCAAGGGGTCACCACACAGTTTTATTTTTTCCGAGCTGACCAATATTCGTTTTGCTAATGATGCAGTGCAGGGCAGTGTTCATATTTCAGTCTGCGCTGTGCCTCTGGAAGAGCCTCACAGCACAGCTGAAAGGTCCGGCAGCATTAGTCCGGTGCCATCGCTTTCAGTTCTGCCTGAGACAAACAGAGGTCTGAAACCAGGACTACCAGTACGTTAAGTCCTCACTGGTCTTTGCACAACTTTCCACAACATTGCTCCCAGTTTACTATTCAGGTGGAATGAGCTGACCAATAGCAAGCTTCTCCAAAGAGCAGATCAACGCACGAGGGAACTCGAGGGAACACTTCTGGAGTTTAAATGAAGTGATCCGGCTCCACACCAGAGTTTCCAGCAGTGTTCCCCGGCCCATGAACGCCTCCACCTGCTGCCAGGTAGCGTGATCTGCTGACAGCAAACAGCCTAAAAACAGCTCAAATGAAAATGATACGTCTTTCATCTGAGTGGTTTTCTAACAGACTGATTGAAAGGATCACTGATGGATGTAAATGACGTCACGTCTTCATCAAACATCAACAATCTATTGACTCTTACAAACGTAATTCACCACCTGTGAGCCTCCAGCGGCGTGAGGTTTATCTGCACTACTTTCTTACTTTGCTGTGATCCGGATGTGTCCGGGCTGCCACCTCGGCCCAGCCAGCCTCATCTGGATGCTTAGACGTGATCTGAACAGACTTCAGCTACTGAATAGGATGAAATATTGGAAACTGGTTGTTTAAAAGATGAAAGGATTCTGAAACCCCATTAGACCATGTGGTGTCTTGTTGATGTTCTGTCTGGATGAAACCGTCACGCTGATGTTCAGAAGGTTTCAGGAGGACTGGGACACCTGTGAACAGAACTCAGGAGCCTCCTGACCCACTCAAGGCTGGATTCAGGGTGGATGTGAGGAACAAGATGCACAGACATCTTAGTGTTGCTCACATGATAACCCTACGCCTGTTCACACACTTTCATGTCGTGTACTCGACTTGTGTCGCAGCGATAAAGTGGGTTGAACAAGTCCAGCTCAGTCTTCACTCCAGTAGAAAGAAACGAAGCGTGTTTTGTCTCTATGACATAATCACCACGTATCAGTTACAGCTCAGCGTCACTGAGCTTCAGGAGCCAGAGGTCTACATCGAGCCAGCTGCTGGTCAGCTGGTCTGTTAATCATTTAAAACTACTGTTCAAATAACAACAATGTGTTTGTGAACAATGCATGCTTGTGTTATTTGTTGTGGGTGAAACCAGAGGTCGGACGGTTCCAACAGTTGAAGTGATGATGTTGTGTCTGCAGATGAAGACAGCCGGACTCAGGAGCTGCGGTTCTGGTTCCTACTTTATTTCTTCTACATGAGTACAAACAGGGAAATACAGTCCAGTTGCTTTAAGAAAAGTGTCTGGATCAGGTGATCAACTCCAGGATGAAACAACAAACACTAAACGAAGATGTACTGCATGATGCTGAACAGTACCACTCTGATCATTCTGATCCAGATCCAGCCGGGCCCAGGCTGCAGGTCTGTGGGTCAAGCCCTCTGTAGACATGATGCACTCCTTCCTGTTAATCTGGTGGCAGCATCGTTCCTGAGCTGTTCACCTTCCTTCAGCTCGCTCACACCTTTACATTTACGTCACACTTTTAACACGGCATCGCTTTAACCGAACAGGACGCATGAGACCAGGACAGGCTAGAAGGTGGTTCTGGAGGCTGCTGATCTGCAGGTAACACCTCAGGGCGGATTTATTGGACACGTTCATTACAAAGACCACACATCGTTTTCTACGTTTTTGACCTGCAATAAAATCTAAACAAATTTAAAAAATGGATTACATTCATTATTTTTGCAACATGCTGAAATGCACTGACTGCAGAGTGAAGCCTGGAGATGTCTGAAGGAGACGTGAAGGCACTCAGAGGTTCAGACTGGAGAGCAGCGTACGGCTTAAACTGCTCTCCATCAGTGGAATGAATGCAGGTGTCACAGCCGGCTGCATAAACACTCGCTTTGGTGTCTGAGATAGATGTTCAGAAGACTCCATTTGGACAGCGAAGAGTCGCCACCGTGGCGCCCCCTAGTGCCCTGGAGCCTGTTCCTGGTGGTAGACCTCCATGTAGCTGGTGTTTGTTGGTGGTACGTACAGAACAGCTCTTAGTGGCAAATGAAGGAGAGACGGGGTGAGTTATGTGTCATGTAGGATGCTTTGCTATGATTTACGCCACGTGGACGCTAGAGTTCGTTCTCCATGAAGAGGTTCTGCTGTGTGTGATGTTAACATGGAGCCGGCTCGGCTTCAGCACACTGCAGTGTGTTTTCACTGGATAACAACACAAACATGGTGTTTTTTCTAACCTTAGTGTCTGAGCTCCAGACGAGGGTTTAAACTGAAGTACTGACATGTGGCTCCTTTACAGTATCTGTCTCCAGAGAAGCCAGACCCACCTGGGTCCATGCTGGCCTTCCACACAGGGCAGAGTAACTGTGACTCCTCTACACTACTGTCTTTAAAACGTGAAGCTACAGGACGCTTGTCTGGGGCCACCACCATATGAAGCAACTTGTGTGACACCGGATCTGGTCGGTATGTAAATGTTCCCAACAGCTTCCTCTGTGCTCAGGCCGGTAAGAGGACACGCCGTTACATACAAAGACTCAAATGCTTAGTAAAGATAAAAATAATACAATAAAACGTAAAAAAGAATAAAACCACGAGGGCTGAATTCAAGCAAACGGAAACCGACAGACGCAGAAACACATGTTTGCATATTTCAATATAATATAAAATGTTTTGATAAACAGAAGAAGGCAGAAGCAGTGAGCTCGGCGTGAAGCACTTGTGGTTCTATCTCCTGCTTCCTCTTCACTTGTTCTTTGCAGCCAGCGGCTTGCGGCTGATCTTCTTGCTCTTATCGTTGCTCTTCTTGGGAGGTTCTGGGTTGGCCTGCATGTGTCTGCCGTAGAGACTGAGGAGGGGAGAGAGGGAAGAACACATTAGAGTGCTTCTGCAGCTACAAGTCACAAGTTCACACGCTGCTACCAGTCTCCACAGTGGGACACGTGACACATAATACATACATGTTCTGGCGCTTTGTGCCACATGAAGGTGACACGCTCACTGTAGGTCATGAAAGCACAGAAGCTGAGAACATTCAGAAGCGTATTTACATCATATCTACTGAAACAAACCTGATAACAGAGAGGAGCTGAGGTTCTGTGGTGTCCAGGATTACACTGACATGGAACGAGATGGTCTTCACTTCTATATACGACATACACATATATATATAAAACGTTGTTTGAGCTCAGGGAGACGCCACCAGACAGCTGAGACCAGAGCAGGTGGATTGAGAGAGCCGTATCAGACCATCATCCACTGCCTAGTGGAGCGGCTGTCTTTGTCTCTCAGCACCAGGGCAGCTGCACTCTAATTTCGTTGTGGTTTTGGCATACAATGACAACAGAGGCTTCCTGGTTCTGGTTCTGCGGGCAGCAGATTACAGACTGGACCACCTGATCCACCAGGCCGGTGACGTTGTGGGCTGGAGATGGACTCTGTGTGTCTGAGGGACGATGCTGTCTAAGCTGGACGTTCCTCCACACCGTGCTGACCAGGAGCTGGTCCAGGAACACTCATCCCACCACAATGCAGCCCAGAGTGCAGCCCAGTCACTGCCGGTGGCCAGAAGCCTGGAGGTCCTAACTCGGTGTCGGACTCTGAGCCAGTCGTCACACTGGACTCCTCATCGTCAATGCAGGAAATGCACACGTTTCACTTCACGTCTTGAGCTAAGAGTAACGTGCAACAGCTCCTGTCTCTGAGTGATGACACACCATCACATCTTCTCATTAAAACCACGTCATGCGTCTACTTCTGCTCATGTTTACATTTATTGTTTGGATTTCTAAGACTGTGAATGTGAGCGACTGTAATCCTAGCTATTTCCTCTTGGCGATCAACAACAATACCTCTGATCCAGTCCCCCCAGCACCCAACAGGACCACCTACTGGGCAGAAGAACTTGAGGTGGAACCAAATATGCCATCTTAGGCAGGACGGGGTAAGAGGAGAGGATGCTACAGATCCCACTTTGGGGCATAACTCTACACCGTCAAAGCCTTCTGTCACTGCTCACAAGAACTGACATGTTTGAAGCAATCAGAAGAAAGGAGGAAAGCTTTAAGCTGGTGTGTGTTGCTCCAGGACAGAGCGTCTGCCAGACTCCATGTGACGAAGTGGGTCAGGAAGAACTTCCAGTGATCTGCTCAGTCCATTAACATTCAAACCCAAAGCGTGTGGTCACAAGGAGCTCCTCAACGTTTCAGCCTGATGGTAAATAACAAACAAGCAGCTGCTATGAGCTGATATCAGCACATGAACCCACACCAACATCGCTGCATGACCCAGTCCAGCACACGCCACAGGTTTAAACCAACAGTGCAGGTGGGTAAGATGTGGCCGATGAGCTCCTCAGCATAGAGGCTCACGTCGTAATTCAAAGAGGACGAGATATTCACAGAGTCTGGTTCAGTCTGATCGTCCTCCTTCACTGTGCTTCACTTATTACTGTCAACTACACACCAACACCACACCGGCCTCTCTCCACCTCCGTCTGTCACGTTTCTCTCCCGTGGGTGTCTCCAGCTTGTACAGAAGCTACAGAGATCAGTGGAGTGGAAACGTCTCTTCTCCGCTCAGCCTGTGTCCTGGACATGCTGAACGTCCTCCTGAGCCCAGGTTACCCAGAACCGTTGGTGTATGTGAAGGAAAACTCAGCTGTCTTGATGCCACAATGGGCATCAACAAGAACCGGTACCAGTGCTCCTTGTGTTTCCTCCACCCTGCCGGGCTGGTCGAGAGGAAACCACCAAACAGACGTTAACAACAGACGTGTGTCAAAGGAAAACTGCAGACGAAGTGGATTTGGCAGGACGTGGTCCTGGTACTGTGAGCAGAATCAGAGCCTCAGTGTGTCACAGGCAGCTGTGTGGGCTCCACATGTGGTCTCTGCTCCACCCAAACATCTACGACCACATCAGTGCTCTCCACCACAGCAACTCACAGCTCCTCAAAGATCTGAGATGGAGACTGAAGGACTAAATCTGAAGCATCATGTTCACAACCTGCAATGTAACACACCCTAGAGAGCACACACACACACACGCACACACACACACACACACACACACACACAGACTGTATATACAAGCCCAGAGTGGTGAACCCTGTCAGTTTGCGGCTGAAGCCTCCCTCCGCCCAGCCCCATGTCCAGCCTGTCTGCTGCCCGTCCACAGCAGCCTCATGAGGAGCAGAGGGAGGGACAGGCAGAGCTAGCAGCAGTCGGAGACCTGGTCCCCTGCAGGGTGCGAGTCCTTCCCATCGCAGCATGTTAAGAAGAAGCCGACTGTCTTGTCCAGTCGGGCTGCTGGGTCTCAGTGGAGCGGGCGGGGCAGGGCAGGGTGGCGGGAAGCTCCTGGGAGCGTCTGGATGCAGCCAGACATGGGCAGTTGACAGTTTTTAGCCATGCTAGCAGCATGGCTCCAGGGAATGCCAACGTCAGTCTTTTGTTCCACAGCTTTGCTCCAGACTGAGCGATGTCTACGTCCCAATCTGGTCACGTCCCCCTCAGAAGCATCGCTCCACTCTGGTGATGCCTCCACTTTCCATCTAGTGCCACAGTCTGCTTTATATTTCTACAGACTGTTGGCTATGATCACACATTTGCAGAGCTAGTGATAGTCCCATTGGCCTAATCTGCATGTTGTGAACAGTGACAGTAGCATAGCATGCTAACAGTCACCCAACACAGCTTCACATGGTGTTTCTACAGCTGTTCACCTGAAAGGCAACAAAACTCTGCTCAGACAGAAGATAAAACCCTGACTTACTTCTGTACAGCCAGCCAATCACGTCAGAGCAGCAGGAGTGGACACCTGTTAGCAGTCAATAGCATAGCACTGGCATGACTCGAACAGCTTGTTGATGAAGGACATTGTCCAGTCGTCCATCTCAAACACATCTAACAGCAGACCCAACAGGCCTCAATAACGGCTGTGCAGAGGCTTGAGCTTCACTGGTTTTATCTGTTACTTGCTGGCAAACTTGATCCAAAGCACATTTTTGTGTTTCAAGACTGTTTCCCGTCTACATGTGGGTTCTGTGTGCTGCTAAATGACGAGGCCCCTACACTTAATACTGAGCCTGAACACATCTGGTGTAAGCCCAGATGGACGGTGCTCCTCTGCTGACGTTGTGTTGGCAGTGTGGCTTCTGTGTAGACACAGTGTTAGTCTTGTTAACGCTTCCTGTCAGCACTGACACTCAGCTACCAGCTCACGAAACAAAGAAGTGCTCCAGACCCAGCCTCTTGGTTCCTGTATCATACAGGACCTGTAATCTGCTATCAGGCCTCTCAACACAGAGCTGCTGATGGCCTCCAAAATCATTTGAAAAAGTCACAGTTTCAAAAAGAAAAATATTCTCTTCCTCCGTCAAACTTTGATTTCTTTTTTGCTGTGTGTGTGTGTGTGTGTGTGTGTGTGTGTGTGTGTGCATAGTTAGAGGCATTCTTCAGTGTATGTAATTAATAAGACAATGAAGGAAATGAAAGTTGACATGACAGATTTGTGCTTTGTCCATATGCGCCGTGCTGTTCCAGATATATGTGAGCTGGAGGCAGAAACACAGACCAGAAGCAGATACTGTACCAGCGTGGAGCTGCTGCAGGAGATCAGGGCTTTGGTGACTGATTATGTATGCTGCTTTTAAGAAAAGTGATTATTCATTTAGTCAATAAGTGGCCATTGCAGCACACTTGGTGTTGTCATAACAAGCTAGCGTTAGCATAATTGTGGGTTCCCAGCATTGATGGATGAGTGGAGAAAAGAAAGATCTGCAGGGAAGACGAGGAACGGAGAAGGGAAATGATCAGTCAGTGTGTCAGAAAGAGAAAATCAAATCGGTGTAAAGACAGAAGAATAATGCCGTCTAACTGAGGACAGAACCAGTGCTGGTGAAGGGCTTGTAATCATTCTCTTCTCCACTGCTAGCATGTATAATAGGTGCTGTAATGCTAAGTTCAACAGCAGTGAGTTGTGCTGCAGTTCTGGCAATAACCACAACCAGACAGTTCCCAAGTATTCATGCCCTCAAATGAATATGCATCAAACTAAAGCGTCAGTCGTCCTGCTCGGCTACGCTCTCTGTGCTGCAGCTCGTCTACAGGCTGCGAGCAGACCTGCTGCTGCTGAGCATGTGCACTGCTGCAGACACAAAATGTGGACTGCATGTGGAGAGGACACAGATAAACACGAATGAACTGCAACGAAACACATCAGAGGTGATTATGAACAAGTCCATACGCAGCATCAGTCAGTTCTTGTTTAACCAGTGGCCTGTGGTGAAAGAGAACTACTGACAGGGTTTCTAACATCTACATGTTGGCTTTGGGAACACTGTGCTACCTCTACAGTGAACACACACCTGTAAAGGCCATGTCCATCCAGGCAGTGCTGGATGGATGGATGGATGGATGGATGGATGGATGGATGGATGGATGGATGGATGGATGGGTGGATGGATGGATGGATGGATGGATGGATGGATGGATGGGTGGATGGATGGATGGATGGATGGATGGATGGATGGATGGGTGGATGGATGGATGGATGGATGGATGGATGGATGGATGGGATGGATGGGATGGATGGATGGATGGATGGATGGATGGATGGATGGATGGATGGATGATTAAGTGTTGATGAGCAACAAAAGGGGAAACCTCCAACGGGCATGAACACTTTGTGTAGGCGCTGTACATGTCAGTGTCGTCCTGTGCTGCTACATGAATGTGCTGTGGTTCTGTACTGCTCCCTCGTTATCATCTGACTCAGTCTGGAATCAGTGAAGGCTTCCTCTGATCCTAATCTCACTGAAACTCTGACACTGTAAAGACAAACAGCAGAC